AAGAAGGAACAGGGGTTTCGAGAACATGAGCTCAGGTTGTCTGGATCTCACGGTGGCTCTGATGAGATACAGAGCCACCGTTTCAGGGGTTCCTGAAAAGACAGCCTCCTTGAGCTCTAGGCTGCCAGAGTCCGAAAAGGAATGTAGTTTTGGCCCGTTCGGTAGACTCTGATCAAATAGCAGTTGTTCTACAGAGACATTAACTTACCACTTGACTCCACGTGGTTGCCTTCCACTCAGAAACCCTAGACCCTGTTGGTTCAAGCCAGACGGCCACAGCCAAGGAGGATCAGATCCTTCTAGAATGCTTGACTGCAGGGCCATGTTCAACTCATAACAGGGCACTCCCCTCACTGCTGGCAGACTGGGTAAGGGTCTGAAAGTGTCCTCAGTGCTTCTCTGTGCTTTGACTGCTTCCCTATTTATCCCCATCATTTAAAGAGACAGTGCCTCCACATGCATCTTATTAGGTGTTTATCAGTTAGGAATACTTTTTGTAAAAGTTCCAGTGTGAATGATCACAGCCAAAGATCCTATCTGAGAAAGTCTTTAAGCCTTAGGATTTTTTTCTCTTAGCGACTGGTCTTCGTGCTCTATCCACTGCTGACCCCTCCCGACACACACACACACACACACCAACCAACCTTAGTATTCTGGCTTGTTGCCTTGTGGTTTTAATGTGGCTGCCTGAGCACCGGGTATCATATCTGTATTCAAGACTGGAAGGTGGGGAGGGGTGGAATATGAGAGCAGCAGTAATGACCTTTTCTTAAAAAAAAAAAAAAAGAAAGAAGAAGAAGAAGAAGAAGAAGAAAAAGAAGAAGAAGAAGAAGAAGAAGAAGAAGAAGAAAAAAAAGAAAAAATCAGAAAAGCAAGAACTTTCCCAGAAACTCCCTAGCAGACTTCAGCCAGAATGTGTCACTGCCACACTTAGCTGCAAACGAAAGCCCTACAGTGGCCTCTACAGTGGAGAAGGGCAAGGGCAAAGGGACTGGTAATGGGTTATGTGTTGGCTGTCCAACGTATCTGCCACAAACTAGAAAAACCCTAGTAGATGTGAGGGACTGAGACCCACAGAGCCGAACATCTCATAGTTCAGGGCGTCTCAGAAAAGACATGAACCACAAGGGGCACCTGTGGCCCCACCTTAATGTCACCAAGTCTTCTTGCTAGAAAGGGGGGCTTTATTGGAGAAAAGGGTTCATTTAAGTCCTTGGCTTAAAAATAGGCCTAAAAAAAGGAAAAGGGGGCAGGACAGGTAGCCGTTTTTACCTCTTTCAGGAATAAAAACAGAAAGTGCAGTTCGAACCAACCTCTAATTGCCAGCGCCAGGAGGTGGTAGGAAACAAACCTTCACAGCTTTCTCACATTGGTGGTGTCCACTGTATTTCTACAGTCATGGGAGGCCCTTGCCCCCACATCCTAGGACCCTCACACCCAGGTTCCAGGGCTCAAGCTGTTGGTGGCAACTTTAAGGAGGGAAGGGTGGGGGGAGAGGAAAGCTGGCAGAGCTTCGGGGGGCACCACATGGAAGAGAAGGACTCCTGGCAGCTACAGTGGGCACCAGCCTGGGCCCAAGTAGTAGCTTGAAGGTTTAATTTTTAAAAGTCACTCACTTGTAAGAGATTCTCTAAGAGCCCAGTGACTGAAGAGTTGAGGTCCTGAGGTTATTGTAAACCTGACGCAGGACTTGTCTGGTGCAGAATGAGCATCTAGAACAGGACCTGGAGGGAGGAGTCAGGTGCAGGCAGGGTCAAGCGGCCGCAGCAATGAAGTCAGAGAACCACGGACCATGCTCAGTGGGTAACCCCCTTGGAGCTCAGGCTTCCATATCTAGCAACTCCTGCTCAATGCCCATGTCACTTCAGGTTCACACTGCCTTACCCTTCCCTTCGCTGAGGGCTCCAGGTCAAGAACACCCCTGACAACTTCATCTCTGGTGTCAAAACAACCAGCTTCCTCATTCTGGAATCATCTGAGGTGGCCTTTCCCCAATGCAAAATGTCCCTTCTGCAGTGATAACACACACTCGAAGCACGCTAGTTTACAGAGAACTTTCTATGACAGCCTTTCCCTCTGCGTTTCTCTCTGCAAGTCTGCAGCTGGAGCCTGGCACTCCCTCTAACATCTCTCCGGAACCGTCTTCCTTTTGTGCCCACCGCTCACCAGCACGCTGCCATGGTGCTGTTCTGGGTTAGTCCCAGGCAGGTGGTAAGCGGTAAAGTAGCTCTGCAGGCTGACTTCTTAGCAGCACATTCATTTTAACATGTAGTCCACATGTGACATATGTCAACTATTTCATCAAAATTAACAAAACTTTCACATGGAGACTGCTATACTTTAAGAAGACTGCAACCAAAATTGTGAATGCATTAAATGCCACTGGATTGTTTTGTTTAAGGTGGTTACATTTACATTATGTGAATTTGACCTCATTAAAAAAATACTGTTACTATACTTTTTAACTTTATTAAGTGCATTTACCATTTTCTTCTTCAGCTCATTTTCTTTTCACATCCTGTAGGCTAGAAATGCAGAAACAACTAGTTGTTTATTCTCCGACTAGAGGCCCGGTACACAAAATTCGTGCACCGGCAGGGTCCCTAAGCTTGGCCGGCGATCAGGGCCAATCTGCAGGGCGAATGGCAGGGTGATGGGGGGAGTGGGGCACTGCACACATGCTGGCCCCACCCCCACCACCGCTGCCACCAGTTGCCTCCCTCTGCCTGCTGGCACCGCCTTGGCTGGCCTGGTGCCACCTGCTCGCTGCCCCCCCACCCCTGCCCACCGGTCATTCTGCAGGTCATTCTGCCGTTCGGTTGATTTGCATATTAGAGTTTTATATAGATAGGTAAGGAAATAGATCCTTAGAAGGTGTGACCTCTCCAACCAGACAGTGACAGCAACAAAGGACTCCAGTGCTGGTTCCTGGGCCAGTGTCCATTCCTTGACAGTTCCAAATCAAATAACTCAGAGGCACGATGACCTCAAAGTCACAAAGAAAGCAAGGGCACCAACATACTCTAAGGGAGCGAAGTCATTTCTTCCTCTCCAGTCTGTCTGAATTTGAGGAAGGCAGTCATCTGAGAGGCAGAGGGCAAGAGGGTGGGTATAGAGATGAGATCAGTTTGCAAAGCCATCTTTAAATTTTTCATTTTTTATTTGTGAGTGCAACTTTAGTGTTTTATAATGTATTCACAGAGTTGTGCAACCATCATCACCATATGATTTCAGAACATTTTCATCATCCCCAAGAGAAACCACAGGCCCATTAGCAGTCCCTCTCCACTCCTCCTCCCCAGCCCCTGGCAACCACTAATCCACCTTCTATCTCCATAGGTTTGCCTCTTCTGGACATTTCATATACATGGAATCATTCACTATGTGGCCTTTGTGTCTGGCTTCTTTCACTTGCCATGATGCTTTCAGTGTTCATTCATGTTGAAGCATGTATCAGCACTTCCTTCCTTTTCATGGCTATCCAAGTGCTTTCTAACCCCCTAGGGATTCTTCCTGTTGCATCTGCCCTGCCAGCTGTGGGGATGTGGGGGGATTGCAGCCAGGACAACAGAAAAGAGCCTTCATCCTGGTGGTGCCCAGAGAGAAGAAACAGACCCTTCAGCAGCATCGCCACCCTTCTCCACAAACTTCCTCAGATAACAGACACGACAAGGACTGTTATGTCACAACTACCAGCCAGCAGCCTTCACTAGACAGGCCTGTGTGAGCACATGGTGCAGGGCCTCCCGGGCCATTTTCAAAGCACAACCCCTGCACTCTCTCCAGAGGACCACCAGCCAAACTTGGCACCTGAACAAAGGCAGGGCCCAGTGTCAACCGGGAAGAGTGAGGTGCTCAATCCCTTCCTCCTACAAGCTTTCGGGGGCCTGCTCCTGAATTGTGCTATTGACCCTTGTACAATATGCGGGTTAGGGGCACTGACCCCCAAACAGTTGAAAATCCACATGTCACTTAATTCAGCTCTCCGTGTCTGTGGATTCCCAACTGCAAATAAAAAATACTGTTTTCAATCCATGGTTGGCTGAATCCACAGATACGAAACCTGGGGATACAGAGGGCTGACTGTATATTTATTGGAAAAAATCCACGTATAAATGGACCTCGCAGTTCAAACCCATATTTTTCAAGGGTCAACTGTAGATTCACAGTGCAACCTATGAATTTCCCACCACCTCAGTTGTCTTTTGCTCCGATCAAAGTCCTCTAGCTTCAAAAGCATTTCCTGGGGTAGACCCCCGTGTTGAATCCAGGACAACCATTACCTGCAAATCCCCTGACTTCCACATGCATCTCCACATCAAGGGGATGATTTGACTTCCTCGTGGTCTGAGGCAGCAGCTCACTGAAAGTCTCTCCAATTGGGCATAACACCAGATATTCTGATAGCTAGTCTTCAATGCTCCCACCTTCTTCTCCCTTCTAGTACAAGATGGACAAGGGATTACCATGCCCATGTGTAGCAGAAGAAATGGGGACCCGGTAAAGGAAAGGGACCAATATGCATTAGCAGAAGATAAAGGGTCCTACCTCCCATCCCATTGCCCTGGGTGTACCAAGTGGACACAGGAGAAGGCTAGCTAACTAAACACTCCTTCCAGGGAGAAAGGGAAAGGAACATTATAGTCAGTTTTTAATTGTCCATATCCCAAGGCACTTATTTAAACCCAAGCTGTGCGCTTCCTGCCACCAGCATATGTGTTCTCCTATAATCAGGTATTGCATACCCAGACATGACCTACATTAACAGCAAAACATTTCGGTGTCCCTCCACATCCCCTCCCTGAAGTCCTCCAACATAGCAAAGTCATAAAAAAATAAATAGGGCAAATGGCATACATTCACTTTACATGTGGATCCAAAACAAACCAGGTGCTCTACCAGGTCCATCCTGATGAGAAAAAGGCTCCAGAAGGAGTCTAACCACCCCCCCCCCCACCGCCCCCATCTCCCCCAAGCCTCCCATCCAGCCCACATCTTACCCTCCCTTCAAACTTGGCGGTGGCTCCTTCTCTGATGCAGAGGTTCCGAGGGGGCAGAATGAAAGCAGGGGCCTCGGTCAGGGGCATGGAGCCGACTCTCGAGGGATCCACACTGAGGGAGGTTTTAGAAACGTGTGCCGAGGCAGCCAGCTTCACATCCCCCATAGTCTGCAAACAGGAAGGAAGACAGGTCAGACGAGACAAAGCACAGTCCTGTTTCTCCTCAGGCAGTAGCAGGCCCAGTGTGCTTGCTGGGCCTGGGATTTTAAGTTTCACAGGGAGCGGGTGCCCCTTAGGTCAGGGTCCACCTGGAGCTCTTCTGGGAATGAGAGGCTCTGTGTCCTCCGCACGCACGCAAGGCTGCCAGGGTGAGGCCCAGCTGGTCTCAGACGCCAGCTCGCAGGGCCATGCCCTGGCCTCTGCAAAACCCCATGGAAAACTTCCAGGAAAGCGGCAGCTGGGTAAGAACAGAGAAACCAAACAGTCCCCCGAGTTTTTACAATACGTATCTAAAATCGGTATATATCAGTCATTGACCCTTCAGAATCAACATCTACATTAGGCATTTGTGGCAGAAAGGAAAAGCTGCTTTTGCTTGCACCATGAGAACTCACAAGCTAAAGAAAAACAGGATACAGACTCCAAGAAAGAAAGTAGTTTGGGATTCATATGACAGGATTCTGGGTGAGGTGAGTGTGTGTGGCTGAATGAAGGGAAGGAAGGCTAGGGAGGACATCCTACTTTTGGGGACAAGACTGTGAAAAAGCCTCAAAGGTCACGGAACAGAAGAGAAGAGAGTGTTTTAAGATTATCTAGGTGAACTCCTTCGTTTATAACTGAGGCCCAGAAGGTAAGTCACTTGCCCCGAGACATCCCGGAGGGAACACCTTGGGTTCTGATTCCCTGCCCAGGGCCTCACTGGGACTAGACAAGATGCCTATCGATGGGACTGGCAGAGTTAGCTGGCCCAAAGAGACAGGACTGACTCCAGAAGAGGGATTAGTAACAGGCAGGAATCCAAGTTCTCCGTTACCACAGAAACCGGCTCTGGCTCTCATAAAGAGAGAAAGGGTCCCTTAGGAAGATGGAGTTAGGGGAGAGCTTCCTAAATCCATTGGAAATTCTGGAGAACCGGCTAGGAACACAGGCATCAGTGATGGAATCTGAGTTGTCAGATCCCAGCCAAGCTCACCGGACACCCTCAACCACCACCTACAATACATCCCAGGTATCCCTGCTCCAGGTTCGAAGTCCAGGTGGAAGCTTCACCAGGCTGGGAAGGCTCCAGGTTGGGACCATGTCTTATGCTCTACAGAATCCACGGCTCCTGGCCTACTGCAGGCATACGACAAACATCTGCTCAACGGAAGAGGAACAATATGCCTAGTTTTTATGTTCTGTTCACTTTTTTGGGATCTTTAGTCACACATTTAAATCCCACACTGTGAGTTGGGTGAGCATGTAATTAGTTTGTTTAAATTTAATAACATCTAATAAAAATAAAATGGAGATAATATTTTGAAGTTGAAGTTAAAATAACAAACACCTAGATTTGTTTAACAGGGCACATCCTGCTGGACAGATCCAGCTTTCTCTTTCACTAATACCATATTAGCTTTGCAAACAAAATCCCTTCCAAAAGGTTCGCTGCAGTCGGCAATAATGAAAGCAAACCTTATGTAGCACTTTATGTACGGCAGGAGCTGTTGTAAGCACTTTATAAATAATAGCTCATTTGCTCCTCACAACAACACTGTAAGATAAATAATCCCATCATCCCCATTTTATGGATTAGAAACCTATGTGCAGAGAGATTCAGAAATTTGCCCAAGGTCTTGGCATTGAATAGGGGGCAGGACTGGCACTTGAACCCATGTGTCTGGCACCAGAGCCCCTATTCTTAACCACTGGGCCCTCTGACCTCTTGTAAGCAGTCAGAGTTGGCTGGTGGGAAGGGGGCCTGAGGTTGGGGTAACAAGGGAGAAAATTGAAAGCTGCTCCCAGCTTTAAAAAATTAAGATTTTCTATATGTCAAAGCATACTCTGGACAACATTAAAAGATGGATGATAATCTGGGATAAAATGTTTACAATAAAAAATGAAGGACTAGGACACTTTACATGTAAGAAAACAGCCTGACAGATAAATGGGAAAGGGCTATTCCTTAGATGGTTCATAGAAGACAGACAAATGAGCACTGCACATGGACACTGCCTAGTCACAATAAGAACCCAAGAGTGCAACTTAAGAACAAGCTATTATCTTAGGAACTAACCAAATTGATATTTAAAAGGAGCGATAACAAAATGCCAGTGAGACTGTGGTGAGGTGGGCATGCTGGTACCCAACCAGGGGAATAGAAATTGGTGTGATCTGTCTGGAAAGCAATTTGGCAAAATGATTCTAAACAAACATCCATCTTTTTTCCTAGTAATCCTACATTTAGAAATGTGTAACTGGGAAACAATCAGAGATGCGGCCCCAAATTTGTAAGTGAGAATGCTAATCACATTATTTATAGCAAAAGAAACAGAAAAATAACCCAGTTAAATAGAAATTTAAAAAAAACACATTAAATATCTAACAGTAAGATGGGTTAAACACAGTGGAATATCAGGCAGTTATATGAGTGTATACTTACAAGAAAAATAATGATAGAAATTTAATAATATAGAAATTTTAAACTAAAAATAAGTTTTATTATGGAAAATTTCAAAGACACAGAAAAGTAGAATGATAAAATGATCACCTCAACTACTCATCTCATGGATTCAGTTATTAGCATTGTGTCATACTCATATCATTGTGTTTTCGTATGTATTTGCAGAACCATTTCAAAGTAACCGTGATATAATTCTAATGGCATGAATCATGATACATTCATTCACTCAATTAAAACATATTGACTGATTCCCAGAAAAAGAAAAAAGCTAACTGAGTCCATCACCACCAAACCAGTATTACAAGAAATGTTAAAGGATTTCTTTAAGAAGAAGAAGAAAAAGATAAAAATTATGAATAATAAAATGGCAAAAATTGCATACCTATCAATAATTACTTTAAATGTAAATGGATTAAATGTTCCAATCAAAAGACATATAGTGGCTGAATGGGTATGAAAACAAGATCCATACATATGCTGCCCTCAAGAGACCCACCTCAGATCAGAAGACACAGAGACTGAAAGTAAAGAATGGAAAAAAGTATTTCAGACAAATGGAAATGAAGGGGGGGGGAAAAAAGTCAGGAAGAAATACTTATATCAGACAAAAGAGACTTTAAAACAAAGGCTATAACAAGAGACAAAGAAGAACATTTCATATACTGTAGCCAAGATATGGAAGCAACCTAAGTGTACATCAATAAACAGTTGGATAAAGAAGATGTGGTATATACACAATGGAATATTTCTTGGCCATAAAAGAAATTTGAAATCTTACCATTTGTAACAACATGGATGGACTTAGAGGGTATTATGCTAAGTGAAATAAGTCGGACAGAGAAAGACAAGTAGCATATGACTTCACTTCTATGTGGGATCTAAAGAATAAAACAAACGAAACAGAAACAAACTCATAGAAACAGAGAACAAAACTGCCAGATGGGAAAAAGGTTGGGGGATTGGGTTAAAAAGGTGAAGGGATTAAGTCGTAGTTACAAAATAGTCCTGGTAAATAAAGTACAGCATAGGGAATATAGTCAATAACATGTGGTGCCAGGTGGGTACTATACTTATGGGGGGACACTTTGTAAGTTCTATAAATGTCTAACCACTATGCAGTATACCTGAAACTAATATAATATTGAATGTCAACTATAATTGAAAAAAATTTAAAAATTTTTGAAACCTGTTTATTGAACAGCTACCACATGCCAAGCTAGGTGCTAGGGTATGGCAGTGAATAGGTACGTGTGTGTGGTGAATGGAGTAACATGGTAGGGAAGGGATGGGACTCTTATATCCTGCAGGGCTACCTAGGACCATACTCCAGAAGGGACACTGCTCCTCTGCCCGCCTCCACTGCCACTGAGGCGAGGTGACAGATAACACTCTGTGCTGTCAGCACCAGGAGGGTGGGGGGTGGGGTGGAGGTGGGGGTAGGTATCATGAGGGTCAGATCCTGCCATAAATCGAGGGGCACTGCACTTTCTAATTGTGAGCTGGGCAAGGAATGTCAATTCGCTTGGCCTCAGTCTTCTTTTCCATAAAGTGGGAATGATAATATCAGTCTCACAAAGTTGAAGGAGGATTTGAATAGAGTGTGTCTAAAACACATAGTACAGCATAAAGGGGATTCAATAAGCGGTGGCTGTCAATATCATCATCCAGCTCCCAAAGGAAAATTAGTTTCTCCGCCAGAGGACAGAGACGCTTTCGAGCAGGACAGCAAGATGCCCAGGCCAGCCCGATCTCTTCAGGACAAGGTAGCTGAGTGGGATTACTGTGTAACAGTAGTAGAGGCAGATGGCAGGACTCTGAAAAGATGGGGAAGAAGGGTTGTCATGTCTGTTCTAGTAGCACCGTCTAATGGGCAGGGTGTGTGCCTCTGACCCCGTGCTGGGCACCAGTCTTACTCAGTCCCCACAGCCCTGCCAGGCAGTTCTGACTATGCTCCTTTTACCAGTGAGGACACCGAGACTCAGAAAGCCAACCACACTTGTCCAAGGTCAAGAAGCTAAGCTAAGAAGTGGAAACCAAGCCAAAGCCCATGACCTACATGAGGAATTTCCTGCTATTCCCAGTAAAGAGAGATGCCACAGGCAGAGGCTATTGCAGAGAGGAATACTGGGAGTTGCAGAGAGGAATGTGCCTCCCCTTTGCTCTCAGGCCTGGCTTTGGAAGACACAAGGCTCTTCGGCCTCTGCTTTAAGAGGAGCTGAAAACTAGGAGTGGTGACATCAGGCTCGGGACCCTCTACAAATCCTCTTGATCCAAGACCTGCTGAGGTCCACCTAAACTTCCCGAAGGCCCCGGATACTATCATCAAAGGGAACATGCTTCAGCCCTAGTCAGTTTAGCTCAGTGGATAGAGTGTCAGCCTGTGTACTGAAGGGTCCCTGCTTCAATTCCCATCAAGGGCACATGCCTGGGTTGTGGGCTTGATCCCCAATAAGGGGCGTGCAGAAGGCAGCTGATCAATGATTCTCTCTCATCATTGATGTTTCTA